AATGCAGTGCCCAGAATGAAATACAATATTCTAGGTATATCTGACCAATGCAGATTAGAGAAGCCTTATGACTTCTCTTAATTTTTACATTAGAACATCTGCAGCTGTATCCCATCAATGTTTCATGTCTATATTGAGATCCACCAGGACACCCAGATTCCCCAAAGCTTTGAGTAGCAAACAATCAAAATCATCAAATGAAAAATAGACCCCACAAAAATAACAACCCCAAATGTAAACATTAACATCAAAAATTATATATAAGAAAATGCAAAGTCATGTTTCTATTGGATTTCAACAATCAATCACAGCATTTTTACACATGCTGCTGACTCATGTAATCTGCCTTATCTTATACTCATATTCCAATAGAGAAGAATATCTGTAGCTCAGGGTTGAACTATGAAGTCCTTGGTGCCCTCTGAGGTTGTTTGTTTGCTTGCAGACATTTTAACACCCAAGTAGGTAATGTCATCAGTGCCATTGCTATCTGTATACCCATTTGATATTCCAAATTTGAATAACCTTTTGTTGGTTTCTGCCCGTTGTTCCAGCTTGCCAAGATCCTCCTGAATCTTGAAGTTGTCCTCTCAGAAGTTTGTTATCACTCTATCTTTATATTGTTAGCAAAGCTGATAATCAAAGATTTTAGCCCTTCATCCAAGTCATTTATAAATATGTAGAACAGCAGAGGGCCTAGAACTGAGCCTTATGGTACTCCATTGCACTCATTCTTCAGGCTTGACACTGAGTATGATTGTTCGATAGTCCAACTCATATGTTACCATCATTTTTAGTAGGTGTCAAATGCTTTGCTGGAATCAAGAAACATGTTTTTTCCTGCATGACAACCAGTTAATGTGGTCACTTTAACAGAAAAGTAGATCAGTTTGTGTTGGCATGTCTGACATTTTCTATTCCAATCCTTGGAGAGGTGAGATGTGCCACAATAAAATAGTGGAGAAATCCAGCCTACTCGTTACATTGTGACTGTCTGATAGTATATATCCTCCCACCTACCCACTTGCCTCTCTAAGGTAACAGCAAAATGATTGATTTCAGTTCTTTGCATTCATTTAAAAGTTATTTCCCTAGAGAAAAGGGATTTTATTCTAGATATCTCACTTTGATTGCTTCTATTAGTATCAATATTTTTCCAACTTTGGGAAACTCACTCTATTATATTCTTTTGAGAGAACTAAATATTCATGTTCTTATAATCCACGAATAGCTTTGAATATTTAGGTATTTGGGTGTTTAATATGTACTGTAGAACAGTGGTCCCCAACCATTGTGGCTTGGTGGCCTGGTTGTGGAGTGGGGAGAGGGGAATTGGCCCATGCAAGTGTCAGGCCAGCACCCACATGTGCAGCTCAACTGGCATGAACAGCAGGCCAAGACGCACATATGTGAGTGCCAGCCAGCCTGCCACTTGCACAAATTGAGCTGCACATTTGTGTGTGCACGCACATTCCAGCCAGCCACTCGCATGGCCCAATTCCAAATAGGCCACAGTCCAGTAGTGGACTGGAGCCCAGGGGTTAGGGACCTCTGCTATAGAACACAGATACAGTCTCTTTGAGTGCCAAGGGCCAAACCTGACCTGAGAGTTGCCTGGGGAGCAGTTCTGTATGCCCTGTGTGTGTGTGTATAATAGTCATGTAACAATTTACCTCTTCTATCAAAGTGAAAAGAATAATTTGCCTACAGTTCTTGCAGGGTATTTTGCGGTCAATTCCATTGGTTGGGAGAAGAGGTTCCTGTTGTTGCATCTTGAATGTATAAGAAAGCACAGTTTTCTTTTGAGGTGGCCTTATTTAAAATGTTAAGCAATGAGATTGCTAATAAAAAGTGTGGGGGGGGGGGGAGAGAAAGCAGTGCTTGGCTTATTCTATCACAATTAATGGAATACACTCACGAAAGTGCTTATTATTTATACAATGCTGCCCTTAATCTAATTGCTAAATTGTTTTTACTAAATTGTCTAGCAGCTGTAAACATCCCCAGTGATCACATCGTGCGTGTTCTTCTCTGAAGTATCTATGATTCTATATAATTGTGAAATGCCCAAATAAAATATATCTAAGATTCAGAGAGCTTCCAAGAATAATACCGGGGGCAAGAGTGATAACATCAAACAATTAAATATTACAGATGAATAGCCCTGGGCATTAAAGCGAGTGTGAAGAATGAAGGTGAAAATCTTTTTCCCTCTGTCCTAATTCCAGGGAGAATACTGAGCCATGCCTTAATTCCTTTCAGTGTAACCTACAACCTGTTTCCAATTGTTTGGCATCCACTGAACATATGTGGCACCCAACTGCTGTGCGTAATGTTGTATGAATAGATGCTAGACCTTATCTATCATTTATTTGTCTCATGTGTATGCCCATATATATTACAGACATTTTTATTTAATTATTCAGGAATTGGCATATGAGTTGCATTATCTCATTCCTCTGGGCCCCCTTGCTGACAGAATAATGCAAAGGAGCAGTAGCTAACACTTATACTCTTCAAGTTGTTCATCAGGAAATAAGGCCTCGTTTAATTGCCTTTTTCACATGGGAAGAAAATTGCCCTGAATAAGAAATGTTCATCATAAAAAATGTGTCTCTTCCCTTATCTCTTCTCAGAGTGAAAAGTGTCAGGGCTTGGTTTTCAATTGCAAATAAGTCTCAACTTTGGGACTTCACCATTTTGATAGATACTGAGCAGTATCCTACAAAGTCAGCATGTATATCTGTTTATTCTGGAAAACTTATGGTCTTAGTAAAGATAAGTATGCCACAAGGCTCAGCTTCTGTTCATCAGGAGGCCCTGGACAGATGATTGTTCTCTAGCTCTCCAAACTATAACATGGGGATAATAGAGATGCTTGGTTCTTCTGGGAATGAACATTATGGTGAGTGGGGAATATTTTCAGTTTAAAAAAAGTGTGTGCATGTGTGCCTTCAAATTAGTAGTGTAGTGTATATTGGAGGTGGTGACCCTTTGAGAGCTGTATGCAATGAAATTTCACGTTAATGTATGCCAATTAATGTACATTCAAAGTGACAATAAAATTATTATGCTCTGCTCTGCTCTGCTCTGCTCTGCTCTACTCTAGTTAACTCCTGACAACTGCTTGGACAGTTTTCTTGGCAAGATTTTGAAACTGATTTGCTCTTGCCTGCTTTCTGAAGATGAGATAAAATGATTGGTCCTTCTAAAAGTCTTATGACCATGCTAGCTGGACATTCTTGATGGTTTTAGTTTAACTCATGGGAAAGGTTCGTAAGTTTAGGAGGGCAAAGTGGGAGAAGGAAGGCAAATAGGAACCCAGAAGGGGGGGGGGAACCTATTCCTGCAACTGCAACTGAATAAATGTGTGCAAGTAGAGGAGACGGAAGATGTTTTGGGAAGCTACAAACCAAAATGAAATAGTCCTCACTTGGCAATGATGGTGGGAACTGGAATTTCTGTCACTAAGCAATACAGTAATAAAATAGGATGTCATGTGATCACACTCATGACTCCAGTGGTGGCAATTTTGGTTGCTGTGGTTAATCAACTCCCTTGTAGTTGTTAAGTGTGACATCACCACTATTGGTCATCTCCTGCCAAACTTTCCACTGACTTTGTTTGTTTGGAAGTCAGCACTAAAGGTCAAAAATGGTACTCACTGGCATCTAAATTACAATCACATGTCCACAAGATCACTGCCACAAGACCTAGCCATGAGCTCCTTGTTCAGCACCATTGTAATAACTTTAGTCAATAGGTCAAAGAGAGAGTAATATTTAATATAATTATATGCATTTTTACTCAGAAGATAATCCTGCTAAGGAAATGTGTATAGGAATACCTTAAAGCACTGGCTCTCAACCTTTCCTTCACCATGGACCCTCTTTAAATAGCTTTTGTGGCCATGGACCATGGCCATGGGCCTCCCAACTCAAAATTTAAATCATAGCATTTCTTCAAGCCTTTGCAGATCCCTTGTGATGACGGCAAGCCCTCACCCCGCCCCCCCGCCCCCAGGGGTCCATGCAGTGATGTATTAATAATTAGCAGACTAAGCACGTGCTTAGGGCACCAGGCCCAAAGGGGGCACCACAAAAACTTTTATGTAGCCTAAGCTTGGCTTTGTTTGTACAGTATGTACCAAGGAGGGAGGCACCAAGATTTGTCAGTGCTTAGGGCACCAGTGAGCCTTAATCCGCCACTGGGTCTGTGGACCACAGGTTGAGAACCACTGTCTTAAATACTTCCATATTATTATAAGCAAATGTGCCACCCTGTATCTAACTGTCTAGGGCTATCACTGTTTGAATCTTTACTGAGTTTCATATACTTATGTGAGTGTTCAGAACTTAAGTTCACATGTAATATCAATCTATGATATTTTTCCCAATTTAAGCTTAGTGCAATTGAAAATTTTAGCATGGTGGCTTATCATTTGTATAAAAATTAACTTAACTCTTCAAATCTAACAGGACCAATTCAAACATACTGTAAAACTCTCCAGAAGATGAGCAGGGTGTTAGGGTGATAAATTATCCTAAATGTCTATTTCAGTCACTAAATTCTTTTGACTTATCTATAGGGTGAGTACCAATAAACTAAAAGACAAAAAAATCAGTTATAAAAGGGCCCTCAAGCTAAGCAATATAAGATTTCACTAAAAACACTCACTTCAAAGGATCCAGTTAACTATTTTCATTCCTTCCTTCCCTCCCTACTTACTTCTCCCTTTACTTTATATCTGAATATGTGAGCTGCAAACCACAAAAATGTATGCTCAAATAAATTGCTTTTATGATGTCATGAGACCTTTCCTTTTCTTAACCACTTCAAAGTATCTAGAATAAGTTAATCTAATTAGGTTAGATTTACTCCCAAGGAACTATGCAAAGGATTGCAGTGTGCTTTTTATGACATGCTTAGAAATGCCTCTCAGGTGCTTGAACAACAGCTTTTTTCCCTTATATTTTATATTTTGTAGAACTTCAATAAAGTGTGTGTGTGTGTTTATGTATGTGTAAAAATATAGTATGTATATGTATACTCAAAAGCCTCCCACTCTTTCCTTACATGAACTCTTTTTGACCCAGTCTTCTGCCTTTAAGACCTATCATGGAATGAAACCAGCATCATGTGTATCACATCTCCCTATGTGATGGAAACCTCCTTCCAAGCTTCACATTAATAAAACACTCACTACCACATTTCTTTTGACACTTTTATTCAAACAGAGCATTGTCTTGCTGATGTCTTCTAATGGTCTAAAACATCAAGTAGATTTTATTGGAAAGGGTCAATGGAGGAAATAAGAAAGCAAAGAGACTTTAAAAAGTCCTGTATTGACATTCCTGTTTGATCAAAGAAACGATGCATGGTTACAGAAATAAGTCTCGCTAGAGACCAAAGATCTTACTCTCTAGTATACAGAATTGCAGTCCAAATTGGTAGCACAGTTCATGAACACACTGAGGCAGACTTCTATATAAACCTAGAATCATACTGCATAAGTGTAAAGTAAAAAAAAATGGAAATAATCAGATAATACAAAACTTTTCCAAACACAGTAGAATAAACAATCCACTGTGTCTAACACTTATAGACATTTTTAAGACTATCAAAGACTGTTTTTTCCCTGGGAAAAAATAGCTCTCAGTTTCTGCTCTGGAAAGTATAACTGTTTAAGTGAAGCCACAAAGTTATTGACCTGATTATACCCATGATATTACAGGCCAGGAAGAGTTCAGATATATTTCAGCAATCTGATATGACTTATGATGTAAGTCTTCAACAAAAAAAATTAGCACTCTAATCCTTGATCAATTCATTTCTATTCACAAGTTAATGACAATTCCAGTTTGCTTAACAGATTCAGTTCTGTTCCAGTTAAGTCTTTGAGTTATTATTTATTTGGACTATTTGGTAATGGGTTTAATTAGCTTCAGTGCCCAAGGGCTTCCTTACATGAATTCTGGGTCAGGCTGTTATAACTTGTTTTTCTTCTTTGATTGCAGCTGTAAGCTCTCTTCTAGCAACACATCATGTTCCTCAGAAGAACTCTGGAATGGGAGCCTGGAGACCTTTTGAAATATCAAAAGCCTCAGAGGGCTCTCTCTTTTTCAAGTGGATGATTAGCATGAAATTAAAAACCAAGATTGACACAGACTTAATGGCAACAGAATGTAAACATATCTCAAAGTTTATTCATAAATTGTACTTCTATTAAAATCATAATGTTCATCTTAAGTGGTTCATACAAGAGTAAAGGGCAACTCTCTATTGACATGAATTTCCTGAGACATAGGGCTTTCTTCACTTCCCTATCATCTCCGTTCTCCTTCCCTCAAATAATGAACATGGGACATTTGATTTAACTGCCAGATATTTCTCTCACCATATTCATACTTAATAGTTAATTTTTTCTCAGAATAAGAATTTCAAGGGTTTACTAAAAAAGTAAAAATTTTGTCAGAAAAGGGGACTTTCAGAAATTTGATAAAGAGTTATGGACAGTTGTGGACAGTTGTCCATAACTGAAACCAGAAAGACTTTACTCTGACTCTGGTTGACAATTACTTTATGAATCTGGAATTTTCATTAACATTATTTTCTGAGGAAATTGCCTTTATTCCTTTACCAGTGCTTGTTATTCCCAGTGCAATGGAAATTCTCTCAGAATTACAATTCAATGTTCAACTATGAACACGACTACTATGAATAGTTTCTGCTGTTCAAAATTAAAATGGAACTTTAAAAACATACCCTGTGTAGACTGGTCATTGGGCTATGCTGTTTATATGCATGCCTGTGTATTTTTAAAGAACCTATTTGGGAAGAAAACTGAAGCTAGTTAATTCATAACCAGAAAAGAATAAGGTAATGAAGCCATTTAAAAAAAAAAAGCAGGGCGTCCTTTGCTTTGGAACTGTGTTAAACTACTACATTTTATCTTGGTATATATCAGTGCAATAAATAATAATAATAATCTAAACCCATTTGTTTCTCTCTCTCCCTCACCCAACTTTTAAAACAACATATTTTAAATCAGTCTATTGCCAGAACTTTCTGACAAGAATCTTTGTTAACAAGAATCACTGCTTGATTCCCAGAAACAAAAAGGAATCAAAATATCCTCTGATAACTGTCCTGCAAATGATTGTGTTTCCACACACATACCTCAAAGAAGGACTATGGAAAAGTCCTAGTGGAACCTGTTCAAATTAATATTCAATATTCTAACTAAAACCCACAGGTTGGTTGGATTGAAATAGATTTAAAATCAGTGCAGAATAGATTCCATCCATGAGTTATTCCTCTCTTTGGTTTTATTTGTAGAATCCCCCACATCAGTCTTAAGGGGTTTCCTTTTAAGTAAACAAATGTAATAACAGCCTGTAAATAAATTCAGCCAGGCCCGCAACAAAGTTTAGCAGCATATAGAAGCTGAAAGCAGCTTTCCCTGAAAATACATATAAATAAATTGTAAACATATCATTTGCCTTTTGTGCCTTGAATCAGTTCTGTGTAAAGCAGCAGGTTTTCATTCTATACAATGGACTTTTCTATGGTCAATGTAAAACTTAGTGCAATTATTGTCTTCTTTTGTACCTTGAATTCAATTTTGCATGACTTCACACATTACAGAGCTGTCTGATTTTGCTTTTGAAGTTTCTGAGTCTTTTCAGTATCATGCATCTGTATCAAATAATTCTCAGTGTGATCATAATGCCACAGTATTAAGGTGAGCTTTTGGTAGGGGAAGGGGCCATAGAGCACATCCCTGAATGTCTGGGGCTGGATACTGAAGGAGAGAGTTGAGTAGGTACTCCAGGAAGCACTATTCCTTCCCTTTCTCTTTTCTTCTGCTTCATCCTCCGATTTTGGAACCAGATTTTCACTTGAGTGTCATTGAGGCCCAGAGACTTTGCTATTTCCACACGCCGGGCTCTGGTGAGGTACTTATTGAAATGGAACTCTTTCTCCAGTTCGGTCAGTTGCTTAGTGCTGAAATTGGTTCTCACCATGCTAGGAAGACTGGAAGACCCACAAGCTGCGGGTTTACCTGAAAAGGGTTGAAAAGATTGGACTGTTATGGAAAGTCATAAAATATGCAAATTCCTCGGATTAGACCATCAGGATTACATTGGGGGGGGGGACTTTTCTCCCATTTCTCTCTAATTCAAAGTTACGCATTTATGGAGTCCTTGGAGGAAGCCCGCTATGTTTCCATCTGGATTAGATCAGAGGATGGAAACGAATGAAATATATTAAATCCAGCCCATCTTAAGAGAGTTTCCAGCCTTTGAAAGTGACTATTCTAATGACTTTCGTGGCGGAAACAGGCACAAGGCACTAAATACTTTTAAAAACAAAAACCAAAAAAAAACTTCGGTGGGGCAATTGCGCAATGAGAAAGCTACAAAGTATTCGCATCTGGACAACTTCGCATTAGCAGCAGCAGCAGCAATTCGGGCCTCGAAGGAGCCGAGGACCCTTGCCGTTTTTTCAAGACCAACACCCACCCACCCACCCACCCAAACCGGGCACGCGCCGACGAAGCCCCGCACTTACTTTTCGGGGGCGCGTTCCTCTTGACTTTCATCCACTCGAAAGTGCTGGCCGCCGCTTGGCCGCTGGCCTTGGGGCAGAGATCCGGGGGCGGCGGCCGCAGCAGCGCACCCTTAGGGCAAGGCTGAAAGGTCTCGGCGAGCGCGGTATAATCCATTTGCAGGTAGGCGCCGCCGCTGCCGCCGCCGCCGCCGCCGCCCGGGAAAATGGACGTGGCGTAATGCAGCGGAGCGCTCTCCTCCGGAGCCCCGTAGGGCGCCTCGGGACGGAGCAGGTTGAAGTCGGCCGAGGGGAAAACGTGCGAGGTAAGCGCGCAGGGCGGCAGCTGTTGAGGCTGGAGCCGGGGCGCCTGGTGGTGAGGCGCCAAGCGCTTGGAGAAGTCCGGCAAGCTTCCCGCGGTGGGACCCGGGTAAGCGCCGTCCCCGCCGGCTGACAGGGCGCAGGGCGGCCTCAAAGCCACGCTGCCGGGCTCTGCGCTGCTAAACTTCCCGGCTAAACTCAAGCTGTCCCCGCCCCGCGACAGGTACTCCAGGAAAGAGTTCATCCTTCCCGACCCCGAGGAAGGCACGTCGAGAAGGCACCGCGGCGGCAGGAGCGCGAAGGGGCCGCGGCACCCGTCTCTGCCCTCCCTTTCTCGCTCTCTACCTGCTCCCTTACCCGCACCCGCGCCTGCTGCTGCTGCTGCTGCTGCCCCTCCTCCTCTTCCTCCCCCTCCCTTCAGCCCCCAGGAAAGTCGGCCGTGAGGCAACTATTGTCCTAATATAGAGCCAGCAGGACTGGCACGTGTTTGTCCGCCGGCCAATAAGGGCCTCGGGAGCCTTGGCGCGCGACCTGGGGTTGCTGCTTGGCCCGGCTTGGCTCTTCAGCACTTCCAACTTTGGCCAAGGGAAAGAAAGGGCTGAGGCAGGGGCCAAGCGGAGCCTGCCCGTCCTACCTGGAACCCGGAGACGGAGGGGAAGCGAGGGAGAGGAAAGACTCTGACGTAAACGGTGAGTTAGAGCCCTCAAAAGCAAAGCCCGTTTTCCCCGCTTTCATGCCGGATAGAGACAGGTGGGGGGGGGGGGACACAAACAAACAAGTATTTACCTCTTACAATTTCCAAATGGCTTCTAGGCAGAGGAGAGTTTCTAATCACGAGATCCTCGCTAACAGGTCAGGGGAGATTATTCCTGATAGGGTCGGTGTTCAGGAAGGTTGGTATCAGTAGTGGGCCAGTGAAGGCAGGGGCTGGAAGGTGAGGATCAAGTCAAGCCGCCCTTTCCATGAATCATCCTCTCTTCTCCTCCAGTTTGGAATTCCCAAGCAAGGTTCTAAGCTGCAAAGTACCTGGGAATTAGACTTTGTACAGGATGGCTAGAGATAGGCAGAAATGTCCCCAATTTCAGGGGTTTTTACAGAAGTAACTTCCCTTTTGAGGAGAGATGAACAATGTTTTGTTTTGTTT